GGGGTTTTTTTTTTTTTTTTTTTTTTTTTTTGTTTAAGTACAGGTATCTTTCTGTTAGGGGACTAAATACCTGCTGGGAAGTAAAAATTATCTTTTGGTTAAATCAGACATTATGCTTTTGTTTAAAATTAAGACGAGGGCTAAACAGGAATTAAAAGGTAGCTAAAGAAAATCACTAGATGCACATTCTGCCTTGACTGCCAAAAATGCACTTTTATTTCTTCTTTTAAGACTAAAATTAGACTGACCAAGTCAACTTGCCTCAAAGGCTTCCCAGGCCTGCTTGCCTTGTAGATTTCCAGCTGCCGAACAAAAGTTAGTTCTGCATCATATAATACAACATATCTTGGTTCTACTTCATGCAGTACCCGAGTGAGCGCATAGGGATCACTGCAGCCCTGCAACGGGTGAATAATTGTGAGCGGGTTCTTGAAAATACCGTAGTAACAGTCTGAGGGTAAGTTCATAGGGAAGTCTTCAGGAATGGTCTCTTCAATACTGCTTTCCTGGCTACTGCTTAATTCTTTGTTATCTTCCACCTCTAACTCCTCTCTCTTTTCCTCCTCAGTTTTCCCCATCATTTGGATGATAGTCCGGTCTTGCTGCTTCTTGTGTTTATTTTGTTTTGAAGAAGCGGTGAGTTTGGCTTTTTTGGCTTGAGGCCCTGTGTCTGGTCTGGAATTTCCTTTGGACTTGACGGCTTTTCTGTCCTTAATCCACACTTCTCCAGCTTTCTCATCCTTTCCAAAGGTTTTGTTATACAGTCTTGTTAAAAAAGCTTCTGCTCCAGCAATAATATACTCCCTGAGCTGTGCACAAGCTCGGTCATCACTGGCACAAATAAGCACTTGCCCTGCAGTCAAGAAACAATATCATATTTATAATCTGTTATGCTGTACTACTTCTTATCCAGCTACAAGACATCTCTTGAGCAAATTGTTTTTAATTGTTAGAAGCATGCCTGCCTTTACATTTGGTTGTCACAGTTGCTCTGGACTTTCAGGGAGTCTAAATTGCATGTTTAATCAAACAAGATTAGAGAAGGTTAATGAAAGTTCAGCATTCCTTATTCTTACACCATCTAAATTAGTGAGGTTTTCCTTTTGACCATCTGAAACAAGGCAGATATAGCATGTATTGAAACATACTCGGACAACTACTTTTTTTTTTTTTTTTGAAAACATGGAATAAGAGAGAGCTTAATTTAGACCATTCTAATTTTCAGCCTTTGTCAGCTGTGTTAAAGAGTCTAAAAAAATATGTTTTACACAGTTTTACTGACATTTGTGGGCCTTGAATAACAATTCTCCACAAGCTGACTCAGATAAACTCCTACAACGCTAGGTGAGAAAGCCAGTTCTTACCCAGAGTCAGAACACTGTGGGTGGGAGAAAAGAGCACTTTTTTACCCTTACTATTTCCTAAAATAAAACTTGGTGAAATTTAAGGGGATGAAAAGCCCTAAAATAGGAAAGGCAGCAAAGCAGTTAGTTAGAAACACACTTGCCTTCTACCCTCTACCCCATTTAGGTGCACCTCCTGGAGAAGCAAATTTTCAGGTGTGTGAGAAGAATGTGTAAGATGGAAAGGGCGTAAGACAAAACTATTTTTTTTTTTTAACCTGAACTTGAGAAATGAGTGAATGGTACCTTGATTATTATAAATTTCCACATTATTAGTTTTATTAGTTTTGAGACTAAGGTATCAGGACAATATTGAAATGTAAGTTGTTTTTTTTTTTTTTTTTTAATACAGGTTCTATGCAATATTGAACAGTATTGCATAGTAACCAACAGCATTTCTCTTTTAGAACAAGAACTAAATAGGAGTTTATGTAAAACTATTTAGTTTTACATAGTTTATGTATATAAACTCCTTGTCTTAAGTCCACAAATTACTAAATTTAAAACTAGCTCTTTAATAAAACTGCAGTAAAGAGTTAGGCTGCTTCCCTCAAAAAGTCAAGTAGACGTAAAAACTAGCTGTACTGTGAAAACTTACATCATTTAGTAGTCTCTCACCTGGACCACCAAGGTCTTCACTGTTCTTATTCTCATTTTCAATCTCTTTCAGTACTTCTCTCAAAGCTTCCCATTTTGGGTTACTTTCTAGAACCAATTCCCTTTTCAGTTCTGAAACAAAATAAGATTGAGCACAGCAGCTCTTACAGCCAAAATATCCTTCAGAGCTTTAAATTAGTAGTTAGATGTCAATAGCGTGATAGTTGTTGGCAAATACGATATTCAACAGCCTACATACACAACTTGGTATGCTGATGGGTTGGAGAGCACTCTCACAGAAACATTTAAAAATGGGGATAAGCGCTTCACTGAAGCACAAAGTTAAAATATTCACTCATTCTTCAATTCTGAAACTCCTGAATATATATATTTTTTTTTAATAAAAGCAACAGCAGCTTCCTACCTGTTCACATAAAATAAAAACGATCAAGCTAAACAGCAATGCAATTCAAGAACAATTCCATAAAAGCTCTCCCAATGATCAGCTGAGCAAGCTTAGAAGAACCCGTTACTTCTTCGTGACTCTGTTTTATGTTGTTTATTACATGCTTTTTGAACTAAGATTATGTCTCAACTTATTCCAGCTAACAGATTGAGATCTTGAGCTGTGTAAGATCATGTAGGGAACCATAGCACAAGTAATATATGCAGAGCATTTGAAATCGTGACAGTCAAAATTAGGAATGGCCAGTACCATTTTCCTTCTTTACATCACTTTTTTCAGATACTTTGCCTTTCTGATTCAGTTTCTCATCTGCAATGCGATAAACTCTAGCCCGAGCATTTACAAACATTGAAGTACTGGAGTCAAGAAACAGCCAACCTACAGAGGAAAAGAAAGCAGGAGTAATTTGACATTTGCAATGTGTATGTGTTTCAACCCTTCCCAGTAAAAGCCCCAAATTTCTCATCTGGAATACCTGTGCTACCTGCTTGCTATATAATTACTAGCTTAATGAAAGACAGAAATGCGATGCAAATCTCACACTGTTAAGTAACAGCAGTTAAGTGGGAAGATGAAAGCATTATCTGTCAATAAAAACCTACGTCCTTATGGCTGGTTATATAAAACCTAATTAGATACCTTCATATGTTTGGGAATGTTAATTAAAAATATCAACATTTCACTGTTTCATGCATTAACTTGTATGGTTATTCAGTGTTTACCTGAATTCTCACCAAAAGCTTTTTCACTTGCTTTCAGTGACTCCAGAAGATTAAGGAAAGTGACACAATCATACTGAGTTAGATACAGTAGCAAAGTACGTAGTATCTTCAAATCCTGGACCAAAGATTTTGTCTTAGCTCCAAGCTGATGCCAGAGAGGATCTAAGTAGTGACGTATCGTCTAGAAATATAAATTGGAAAGCTCAGGATGTCAAATATATAGTATACTAATCAAGGTAAGAATGCACTTTTTTTCCTTTACAGGGGATGCCACTAGTTTCCCAAAGTTATTAAACATACATAATTGAAGATGTGATGGTGAGATATTTGTTTTGATAAGTAATCATTTTTTGCAAAGTTAATATAAACGCCTTTATGTAAAACATTTCAGCAATTAGCAGATGTATATCATTTAACGCTTTCAGTACATATTTTCTTTTCCATATAATATTAAAATATGGGTAAAATAAAATAAAAACCCCCTTATTTTAGTGGTACTGGCCTGTGTCTTTAGTATCTAGTATCCTTTACTTAGGTAAAGTAAAAAACATTATAATGTTATTTAATTTTCAAAATAAGGTGAGTACCACACAGATATGCAACCTACAGAGCGTAAGAAAAAACCCCTCCAAATATTTAAAGTACAGAAGGCCTCACATCAAGATTAAATCACAGGTAACAAATAGCTGTGTTTCACTACGATGGTTGAAGTTTATGATTTTACCCTACAGAAAGCATATGTATGCCAAACATTGCAGATCTGCCAAAAATAACAATGCACACACAATTAATGACAAATATAATCATTAAAAGATAACATGCAAATGCATGCATCTGTTGTATGTATTATATACAGTGCAGCTTCTAATAGAGAAAATAAAAAATACAAGCAGGAAATTCAAGAGGAAAAAATGGGGCGGGGGGAAGTAACTGCATACTTATCTCTAAAGTATTTTGAGCTGAAATTGCAGCCATCTTTATAATGACAGTAATATAATAATAATAAACAACCAACCATGAATCAGGATGTTCTTACTGTAGGGACTTTGGAAATGAAGGAAGAACGATAATACCAATACACCAAAACCCCTACTGGCAACTATAACATCAGCATTACAGATTAACAGTTTCTCTCCTTGTACCAGTAATAAACACGTCATGGGAGAATACTCAGTTGCTGCTGGTTATTTATTTTACAAATAATATTTTTGTTTGCATGGCGGACAGTTTGAAGATCTACATCCCTTTAGTTAGACACAGCAAAACAATCAAAATGGTTACCTTGTCAAAAGGTTTACCAATAGCATTTTCTAAAGATAGATCTTCTACTTCAAGAGCTGGATTATAACGTTTGAGTTCTCTCAGACATGCGTTCAAGATGTCCAGGATTGAAGTCTGGATAGCAAGCATAGCAGGGGTCATTGACACATGTATTTCCACCACTTCAGGTTTATGCTTCTCTAAAAATGAGTTCACTGCTATATGAAATCTAAGAGGAAAACAGCTTATTAAGATTTACATGGATGGTTTGCTTGACCTACAACTATTCAAAAGTTTGTATAAACTACAATTGTTTTAAACATAAACAAGTAAGTTAATTGCAAAAAATCAGTTTCTACAGATGTGAAGACTGCAATCTTATGAATAGCCTCAGAAAACCATCTATTCCACAGTTATGACTGTAGTCATTCTAGTCATGCGAGCCTATAGTGCTGGTGAATGATCCACAGAAGATTCCTGCACTAGATTCTACATCATTATTACACATAACAACTATTAAAGTAAAAACAGAAAATGTCATAAGGGAGAAACCGGTACGGGTTCATAAATCCTTTGGAATCACATGGATCCACTAGCAGATTCTGTGACATTCCTAGCTTGTGATTATAAGCAGCAGGTCCTTGTTAGAACACTGCCCTTATAGCCAATCCGGCTGTACAGGTATATAGATGCTAGCTGATTTTTACTAACAGAATGAGGCTCAGAGAACGCTATGTCTGCTGACCTCTGAAACTCAATGGGCATGTCCCTTACTGCTGCACCCCCAGGTCTTTTCATGGTTCAGAAGCCAAGGAAGAAAATTTAGAGAGCTTCTGTTCAACCTTTCCTATCCTAGTTATGTCCATTTCTACTTCTTTGCGATTCTGAAAGAAAGACTGTTAAAGAGTTTACAATGCAAAGCAACAGTACATTAAGATGGAGTGAAACACATTCTAGACTGGACTAAAAGAACAAATGGGCAGACCTCCTGCCCAAGGCAAGAGCATTGAATGGGTAACCAGCTAAAGTGCCCAGTTCCATTTGTGGCTCTGCTCCTGAAAGAGTTAATGCATGTCACAAACTTGGCAATTTGGTTTCTATCAGTCATCAAGAAATATTCTTCATACACAACATACATGTAAAAGAAGATTAAAAAAATCTGACATGTAGAAAGAGATCCATGGACTTTCATCACAGTTGGAAACAAATACCTCTATGAATGGCATAACTGAGAGACTGTATTCCTGTTACCTCATGGCTTAAATAATCTGTTTAGTAAGGGAAGTTTTTCGTAAGCTGTTAAGAATGTCACTTTCTGCTGTGATTTCTATTGGCTAAAAGGACAGCTATACCATAAAGTTCAGGCCCTTATAGATTTAATTTGGGTCTATTTTCAAAAATACTTACAGAAATTTAGCATCTTCTGTCAAAAACTGAATTAAATTTGTTTGCGAATACAAGAGGGAACACAGATTAGCAGTGTGACTGCATACACCTCATTTTCTTAAGAACCTGTTGTGACATCCTTCATCTTTTTTTTTTTTTTTTAAGTTTAACTCTCCAATGAAGCAAAGAGGTGCCTTACCTTGGCCACAGATAAAGTTTCCTGACAAAAAGATTTCTCATCACTCTTTCCACGTGGCAAAAGCCAGTGTTAAATGCAACCGCATTATCTGTAAAAGCTTTAATGAAGCCTTGCTTGTTCTTCTGGCGATAAAGTCGCAAGATAAATGCTTCCTGACAGGACTCAATGATTCTGTGCGCTTTGTATACCAAAATGCCTGGCAAAATAAAAGGTTTTCAAGTTACAAAAAAGTAAAGAAAGGTCCAATTTTGTATAGATTTTTCCTCAAAACCGTCCTGTTCTTTTAATGTTTTTTTCTTAAATAAAGTACAATAGGACTTTAAATCTTCTAAAGTGATGGTTGAACAAACTTTCTGGGGTTCAAACCAAGCGGTTCCTCAGTTTCAGTACCATGGAATCCCCAAATAACAGAACTGGGTTAATGATGCATCTTTAGTAAAAAAAAAAAGCTTGTGCTTGAGTGGCAGGACTTACTAGCTTCGAAAATTCTTTACTCCTAAGGCAAAACTTGAGCCTTTTAAAAGGAGTAAAAGCAAATTCAAGACATAATGCACTATTACAACAAAGCAAGTTTGATATGTTCAAGATTGTGACATTTGAATTATTTTGTTAGAGAAGTTCTGGAATTACAGACTTGTCAAGTATGTTTCATTGGTAACAGTTCAAGTGTTTACATAATCAAAGAACTTCTGAAAACATTTATTTTGCTTTTCCCCCGTTCACATACTCATATTCACACTTCGGGACAGAAAGTACCACCAACTGTATGAGTACACCACCAATTTTCTTCCTGGCTATAGGTGTATTAGGAAAAAAAGATTTATCGTGCACATTTTAGTACAGAGAAGCGAAACAATAGTTTAACTACATTAAGCGTTTGAGGTGAATGTTTCTGGGATTTATACTTCTCTCAGCCAAGACCTGTTAAAACCAAGGCTTATTTCTTCCTCACACTTAATTGTGTTAAATAGCACATAACATTTTTTCACTCTCCCCCTAGTGAAGTGAGGCTATGTGGTACTTTTATCTGTTCACAGCTTCCAGTGGAATAATAAATGCCTTTCTAAAATGGAAGCAAAGGGCATCCAACATCACAGGTTTTACCTTGTACCTACATAAGCTGACAAACTTACAGTGCATTTAATTTCTGTAACAAGTTTCTTCAACTCAGCACCCAGCCATAGATTTTAATACGCCTTTGCTTTGTAAATGGAAAAGCATCTATAAGAAAAAGACTTCCGTATATAACTGCTAGCTATTCATGATCAAGTCATAGAATAATCTACTAAAAGGTATTTTTCTATCTAGATATTCTTACATCTCTCCTATGAAGCAAATTTCTGAGGACATAATAACGATCGTACTCATTTCTGAACAACTTCCAGTTTGTCAAGATGTGACTCTGAAAGGACATTACAGGAGACACAGAATTTGTAACAGGCCAGTAAGACTATGTCTTTATCATAGTACCTTCCTACTTTTAGTCAATATTTCTCTGCTTATGAAGTGAGTTCATACTGCTGTGTAAAGCCTTGGTAGAAACAACTTGTCACTGTTTACTACACCAACCTGCATGAGTTTTACTACGCTATTAAGTACATCATTTATATTTGGCCAAAACCACCAGGAATAATTCTTCTTTACTGCAGTGATAATTTCTTATCTTCAATTTAGCTGAATTCATGAGTTCATCAAATGTGAATTCACATGTGATTCTACACTGATTTTATAAACAACATTTATAACACCTAGAAACACTTCACTGATTTTTTTTGCAATGTTAACTCCTCAAGAAACACTATCACAAGTTTTTGTCGTACAATTTCACACACAGATAATACACGTTTCCAACGGAACCACGTGTTACCGAAGTTTTAAATGAAGCAGCAAGTCTATCAAAGCTGTTGTCACACTGACCTCTAGTGGCAATGCAAAACCTGTAACAACTCTGTGTCATTCTAGGACAGGACTATTTTTTAAATCTTTAGTGTATTTCTTCTTTTCATACTGACAAAGTCCAAAGGTGTGTGTTATTTCTTTTTGTTTTTTTCTTCTTTGGTAGGGCAGAAAAGTAGAGAGGAAAGAGTCAAGGGGAAGAAGAGAAATTGAAGTAGATTGCCCAGAAAAAATGTGTTCACTTTTTTTTTAACCTAGAAATATCAGAATTGACAAATCTGGCATCCTTTGGCTCTAGCATAAAACTGTTCAAAATGTTTTACAGATTAGAGCTTGTCATACATTGACTAAAAAGGAAGGGGATACAGCTTCTGAAGCAGAAACTTACATTCTTCCAAGCATTCAATATTCAGTTATGTTTAGCCATTAAAATGTTAACATTTAGGTAAAAGTAAAATATTCTTATATCCCTGGCTCTTAGATATCTATTTTACTAGCTCTCCAGGCTGTAACAGGGCTTCCAGCTCAGACAAGAACATAAAAATAACAGTGGTTGGGGAAGAAGGGGAACAGAACATGAGAGGAAAAAGGTAACTGTAACATCCTTCATGTATAACTTCTATACAACAACAAAAAAGGTCACAAGCTAGTCCCAAAATCTTTACAATGATAATAACAGCATTACTTCATAATACTGCTATTTATACAGTGTCCAAGGTGTGTCAAGACAAAGATTAGTAAGGTATTGCTATTTTTTGATGTGAAGAGTCATCAGAAGTAGTTTGCTAATGCAAAAAATAGGTAGTGTGCATGGTTGATAAAACATAACATCTAAAATCAGTTTTAATCATAGGCCAGTGTTCCATAGACCAGAGGACACTATTTCACCAAGTGCAATCAATTATTCTTCTTTGAAAGCCAGTCTGAATTTTATGTTTCTTATGTCAATGGTATAGTTTAACTGCCGATTTGTTTTCCAGCCACTTATTGATATCAGAAAGCCATACAAATGCATGATCCAGTATCTAAAAATAATGTGGATGTTTTCAAATTGTATGATTAAATAAGGCAAACAAGTTTGGAGCAAAGAAAACCATTAAAAAGAAAAAAGAACGAACTACACATTTGCTCCTTTTACCTCAGTCTTTGTGGAAAAAAAGGAAAAAAATTCAAAAGGAATTCAACCTCAACACCGGTTAGTAGAACTCTCTGTATAGAATTAAGTTTTATGTATTTTCAAACAGAACAGTCTTACCTTTATTTCATTACACTCTTACCGGTAATGAGGTTTGCAGGAATTCTGTCAGTAAGGAAATCTACCACAAGGATTCGACTTGTTGCAAAGATGACTCCTCCTTGTGTGTAAAATTCATATCGAGTATTATTTGTAATTTCATTGGTAACACGCCGAGGAAGATGAACAACTCCATCTGACCTCAGCTGATCAATAAAATACTCCTAAACCAAATACAATAAAAACACAAGACATCATTGTGGTAACTGATGAAATGGATGCAAAAAACCCTTAACTATACATACTCTGTTAATTTTGAGGAGCTGTCCAAAACAAATTAAAAGGATGATAGTATAACATACTACCTAAGAAAGTCAGAATTATTATGGTTTTTTTCTTCTCAGGTATACTTTGTTCCGTTTCAAACTCATCCAGGTGATTTAAAAATTTATGTATTTTCAGTAGTAGCTAGACAATACTTAAGCAAATACAAGCAACTGACACTCAAAGGAGCTTACATTCTCTTATGTTTTAATAGCTCTTTTTCAGAGAATAGGCAATTTTAATACTGACTTAAGAACAGATAATTGGGAAGAGATCGTCTTTCAGTCCACTCACCTGCTATCAAAGACAACTACATCAGGTAGGTCATATATGTCAAAGCTTAATCTTACAAACTACAGCTGTGATATTTATTCACCTACGGTCACTACAAAAAATCCCCAGAACATCAGCTCCCGGATGGTGGGAGATCTCCCTGGTTCCAGGGAAAACAGAGCGGCATTTTTTGTACAAATAGGGACAAATCTTTCAAGAAGTTTCACCCCTTTCCGCTCATTGGCTGCTTACAGATTTCTGCTGTTTACAAGTTATGTGTTTAAGTTTGTTCTAGCTCGTTATTATTATTCGGACTTCATCGTGCTGCACGAGTGGAAATTCGGACCTCGATTCGATCCTGAACGCTTCTGGTCTGACAACATCTCCCCAGTAATTGCAAAGGCCGGGGCACAGCGCCCAGGCACGCACGCCGCGC